TAGAAATCCAAGATTATTGCCACCATGCTCTACTTTATTTTCCCAAAGCATGACTAAAGTATCTCTGACAAGTGTTTATTGCATTCCACATGGTATTTAGTATATGATGTAAGGCATTTCATGTATGCATATCCATATGCTTTCGTCATCAAATGGAAGTGGAGAAATAAAAGGAAAAGATGAATACTTTACCTAAGTATGCTTCTATCTTTATTATGGAGAATATGTTCGATTTCTACTTACAGAAGGAGATGAACGATGATATCAACCAAAACCCTTTCCATTTGTCCCTCAAACTTCCAGCTCTAAAAAGACTTCTTTGTGTTAAATTTATGAATGAGGTTAGGGCTTACAAAAGTGAAGAATTAATAACATTTGCTTGAGCCAAACGTAGTATGATAGGCACCATGCATGCTCCCTGACACGGCTCCGCCAATCCCTCTCAAGCCTGACCTGCGGTACCCCTGCTGCTTTTCCAGTCCTAGGCCTCTCACAAGCAGAGACTGCCAATGTAGCTAGCGGTGCCAAACTGTCTGGTGGTTTTGCAATACAGCCAAATGGGGACTACGATGAGATGAAATTCATTTCCACCCATGAGCTGAGTAAAGATGTGAACTTAGGTGAAAGGATGAAGTACCAGGCCACATAACACTGAGTGGTGCTTACCAGCCATGTGCTTAGAGACAAGGGAAATTAGGGAAAAATGGGAAAAAAAAAAACCCAGACAACAAACTCTGCATAGAGACTTATTGGCCACAGAAAGGTATGTTGAGTGAATGTCAAAAAGGTGCACAAAATAGCCCAAGTATTTATAGCTTACTTTCTGACTTGCAAAAGAGAAGGACTGTCAGAATGGAATGCTAGACAACGCAAAGAATCTTTGACCTAGATTTTTTTAAGGGAATTATAGAAGGTAAGGTATACTTATTAAAACAAGTAGAGTCTAAATGGTTTTAACTTTACCACGTTAGCTCCTGCAATGCCAATTTAAACTATCACTTTCTATTAAAGAAAAAAAAAAAAAAAAGGTTAAATTGGGTGGTATTCAGTTCTGATTTAGAAACTCAAAAGAAACCTAATGTTTAAGTCACAGTTATAGCAGCTGAGACAGTATTTAAAGCTGTATCCATCCTGACCCAAATAAAAAAGGAAAAAGGAAACCCTTTCCCTTAAAACTATTACTGTAGACGTGGCTTTTGGGATTGCATCAGCTGCTAGGGCTACAATTTGAGCTTCTTTTTTTTTTTAATTAAAGATATACATATTAGCATTACAAGAGAGAGGAAATAGGATTCTGTTATGTTTAACAAGTTTAATATATGTACAGAAGCACTGATCTCAAAAGCAAGCTAGATAGTTAAAACCACAGCCTATTAAAACAAGATCTCTACTCATTTTTTAGTATCCCAGTTGCCTACATTACAGAGAAAAACAAAACTTCTCAAAGCAATGTCTGAAAATTTTCATTTGTAAAGCAAAATTTGCATGACTCAGCTACATGCATTTAATTTCCAAACATATTCCAAAATCAGGTGCCACTACTCTCACTACATTACACTTCAAATCCATGTATTTTTCCCTCTTTTTATCTAAGCATGCTTTTTATCACAAGCATTTTACTTAGAAATTTTGCAAGTTTTTCTTTCTTAATAGTAAATTGCACCATCTACATTCTGTTATTTTCACTCAGGAAACAAACAAATGAGAGACTCATAGGACTTTCCACAGTGATGAGGGATGAGTGTGACAAAGCGTTGCAAACACTTTACCTGTCCAGAGGACATCTGGTGATCATTCTCTACACAGACCCTACACATTATAAAAATGATTAAAGTAAATCTTTCTTTAAAAGTGTAACTTTCTACAGAGACCTATAATGAACAGTAAAAACCAGTTTTATAAAATGTAGTTCAGTAACATTCTATTGCTTTTACCCACAAAATGGAAGTATTCTCTCTAGTGTTTGCTGAAATCAATGCTAATGAAGCCAGAGAACATCTTTTAGAATTCTTCTAGATTATATGCTGGGCTGGTTTTCAAAAATAATTTTCAAACATATCGACTCTTGAATCAAAACGCATCTGAACATCTGATGTTGCAGTCAATGAAAAATATGTATGCTTCAGTGCCTGGGACAAAATCTAAACAAATGTAAACATAAACCACATCCACCCTCCACAAAGGAAAAAAAAAAAATATTGATGTTTTATTGAAAAACGTGAATTCCACTGCTTTTCAGAAGTCTATTTAATAGAGGTGAAGAATGCATATGGCCAAATCTATAGATATATCTATCAGCAGAATTATATCCATCAAAAACGTGAAGCGGTATTCCTGACCTGCAGCTTATCCTGCCAAAGCCTCTAGCACTGCAGTTGTATCATCAAAACTGCTTTTACTGGCATAACTACTGTGACGGAGAGTGTTCAATGTGTATGTGGTAAGTTACGCTGGAAAAGACAGGAGTTTATAGAGTATGAACTAGATCCACATTAACAGTATTTTGCCAGAAGAGCACATTAGCCAAGCAATCCTAGTACGGCCTTGCCTAACTTTAAGCTTTTCTTTGAATTCATCACCAGTGTAAAAACCTGCTGGCAAACTTTGCAATCTGCTCCTATAATTGACAATGCAGGGGCAGGTTGTGCCACCCACAGAGACTCGCACTCACATCAGCATAGCTTTCCACCAGCATATCACTCTATGTGATAAAAGACTGGATCAGAACCTTCTTCGGCATATCTGCACAGCTGTAACCATCTACCTATAGGTCTCATTATGAATGATGCTGAATTCCTCTGTTGGTGCCAGAAGCACTTGGAATCCTTATCAAAACCTATTACATACACACACACATAAAATTAGACCACATATTCAAATTCCTAAAGCGGATATAATTATTTTAATGACTGCCATTCAAGTTTGGATGTTCTAGGCCTTGATTTTTCTTTCTGTGGAAGAAAGGAGAGCGATCACCACAAATGTTTCAAAAAGCATAGTGCGTTTTGGACTTGGATACCAAAACAACATGAAATGGGTCTGTAAAGGCTTCTGTTATTTCGTTTTCAACCAGTAACACAGATCTTCACAAACTTCACTTCATCACTGCTGTAAACAGTGGCAAACATTTTTGTACTTGAGGGCATCTGTTTTATTTCATTATGTCAGCTAATGGTGCTTATCAGCAACACAGGGCTGTACGCTAATATTCCCAAGCGTACTTCATATTGCCAGTCAAAGACAAACGGTGTGGGTATTTTTTATTCTTTGAATATACAACTCTTCACAGTTTTGCTAAAACAGACTTCTGAATCAACTCATGCATGACCTCTATCTGCTTTAAAGAACAAGAGTAACCCTGACTTAAAAAACAGAGTGAAATTAACTCTTTATTCACATCTGTTATTTACAACGCTATCTTTCTTCCCATCTGTTTACCAAAGTACTGAAATCCAAAGTCTTAAGACAAAAACAAATTCCCCATAAATGCCACTCATCTGAGTCAGGAGACCTTGCTGGTTAATTATTTATACATAGTTTACCAAAGTTATCCAAAGAAACCAAAACAAATGAGAGAAGGATTGGACCCCAGCAGTGCAGTGGGATGGAAAAGTAAAGCACTGGCCTAACAGATGTGGTCTGAGGTGCTCTGGCTGCATGTAATGTGAAGAAAGATCGTTTCACAGTGAAGCAAAACCTCCTGCATTTCTCCAGTACCTGCTGTGTTGACAGGGAAGAAATGGAGCCCATCAGTATGTGTGATGTGCCACTGATAACTCTAGCATCACTTTACCCTGTCATCAATGAAGTAATGAGCAGATTTTTTTTACGGAAAATCATATTCACTACCGACTAACCCAAAACACACTGCTTCAAAGACTTCCACTCATGGGCTTGATTTTTCTGTAACAGTGAGTACATTCACACTGCAATCTCTCAATTGCTTTTCCTGCCTAAGTAGATCATAAAAATACATGGTCAAGGAAAGGTTGGTTTGTTTTGGGTTTTTTTTCACATATTAGTGAGTGCCAGACAAAATCTGCTATTGTACTTGTTTATAGCCTCCAAGAAATTTTTTTTCTGACTTTCAAACCTCTGTACCTCGAAAGTCCATGTAGAATGTCATAATTTCCTTTTCCTTTCAGCATTCATCCACACTTACGCACAAATTCAGAAAGAAACTTAAGCCCTATTACCTTTCAAGGAAATATTTTTCTAACTTGGAGCCACAGGCCCCTTAAAAATGAATTTATATTAAGAAAAATTAAACATCTCTGAAATATAAGGCCGTGTCTTCAAATAACTAAATATGGAGGTAGGTGTCTGTAGCTTTTAGCCTTTAGGTTTGACCTCATTAACTTTCAAGTTCCCAGGGGTAAATATTTTTATCCACATTTCTCATCTACCACTGAACACAGAGTGTCATTTAGTAATGAGATTTCTGCCTACAGTGAACATTGAACACAATTCTCTTTGAAACAGCTCGGTCAGGATTCAAACTAGAAGAAATGTGCAATTTTAAATTCCCAGTCCTTTCTCCAGCAGGTGAAGACTATTCACATCCTACTTGCCAGAAAGATGGACCACCTTCAGAACTGAAACCTGGCATTAAATACAACAGAATATTTCAGTGGTTAATGTATAGGAGTTAATAGAGGTAGGATTATGATCCAGAACATGGCTCCATAATGCCATTAGAACGCACATTGGAGTATCTCCTTCTATTTGTATCAAGGAGATGGAAAGACACTAGGAGGACAAGAGCTGAATTTGAATTAGACATTGTGACTTCTGGGAATGCTTAACCATTTAGAGTCTTAACCACTTAAAATCACAGTCCCTGGGCAGCAATGCACTGTTGAGCTCCAGTTTTGCCAAAAAGCATATACACGTGAAAGAAGAATGAAGTGCTATGACAATCTGTACCAATATTCACAAATGTATTTTACAGCACTGGAACAGAGTAATTTAAACCTACAGTTAAATATATTAAACAGTACCTGGCAGGAGCTGTTGGGTAAATTACTCTTATATGCTGGAAAGCCATGTCTTGATTCAAAAGTTGTTTTATCCATGTTCTTGCTCCTTGGCCAGTATCACCTGTATCACACAGAAGAGTACAACAAGAATTATTCCGTGCATCTAGAAAGAAATTATACAATGTTAAATATATTTATACCAGCTTAATCTAATTTCTAAATCACAAAGTTAACTCTCCAAAATGCTAAAGAAGAACTTAATAGAATAACCTCAATCCCCTTTCCAATGAAGATGGACTCAAAAATTCATAGAAACAGACTACCTAAGAGGTCTCACAGCATAAGTTTAATACTTACTACATCCAATGGCTTAAGTACCTCCTAATCCTGCACAAGACCTTACCTCTTACTTGCAACTTACCTTATTTGCTGATAACAGTGATAAACAAAAAATACTGATGAACATCTTAAAAAGTGAGATAAAAATACTTGCTGCTCCCCTTAGATAATTACTTTTACTACAGAATTTTATATTAACACACTTCAAAACTTAGTCAAGAGCAATAAAGAGGATCTTCACATTCAATTATGCTAATTACACATAAGCTTTAAGAGAAGTATCACATTCACAACGTTTTGTACAAGTGCTCAAGAGATAAGTCTGGGTTAAAATATCCGGAAGGCTCCTCAAAAACCTTAAACCCACAATTCTGTTTGAAAGCTAGTTGAGATCTGACTCTCAGTGTGCTTTTTTCCTAGTCTTATCAACTCAGCGTATAGCCAAACCCCCTGCAGACTGAAGTGCTATGAATAGATACACAGGATGAATTCTTATGCAGACAGCACGTGTTCCTTTCAAACAAATACACGTATATACACCAGGCAGTTTCTAGAGTTTGTCTTTGCATCACTGGTATCTTCAGCTATAACTTCACTGCCACCTCTCTGAACAGCCTAAATACACAAGCCTCCAGTAAGAGCTAAACAATGCCTCAAGCTTGAGGAAACTGGCCCGTCAAGGAATATGGTTTATAGTAGGCAGTAATATAACATGTAGTAATGTCCAACCTAAAAATTTGGTGTGGATTCAGCAAACTGAAATTTCAGTACTGCCACTTATGCCATAGGATTTTAGTCTTATTTGAAGCTGAGGCTCCCACATACTATCAACTCAAACTGCTAATCTGAGTATTCGCTATTACTTTATCTCAGATTGGTCAGTTTAACTTTAGAACTCACTCTATGCTTCTCAATAAAATGGCCAAACCATAAGAAAAAATATCACTGCCCTCAGCCAGGCTTACTGCCATGTTCATCTGAACAACGTCACATGAATTTACCTATTTGTTCTTACAATGGTTATAATTCCCCAATGGAGAAGATTTGCTCTTGCTTTAGCACTCAAACAAAATTCAGTGGTCTTTATTTACACACACAATTAATGCATCTGCAGAATTAAAATGGAAGGCAAAAGGATCCAAACCCAGCTTTTTTTTTTTTTGTTGAATGCAAGTGGGTTCCATGAACCACAAAGTTTAGTCTGTTTGACCTAAATACTCCAAGTGATAAATAAACAATAGAGTCGTAAAACTGACACAAATCTTATTCTGTGCTCTGTTAAACAGTAAAATCAAAGTTACATCTTTCACTGGAAGCTTCAGAACACATTCCCACAAGCGCTTTGCTTATGTGAGTATAGAATCACAGAATGTTTTGGGTTGGAAGGGACCCCTAGAGGTCATCTAGTCCAACCCCCCTGCAGTGAGCAGGGACACCGCTAACTAGATCAGGTTGCTCAGAGCCCCGTCCAACCTGGCCTTGAATGCTTCCAGGGATGGGGCCTCCACCACCTCTCTGGGCAACCTGTTCCAGTGTTTCACCACCCTCATTGTAAAGAATTTCTTCCTTATATCTAGTCTAAACCTACCCTGTTGTAGTTTAAAACCATGACTCCCTGCCCTGTCACAGCTGGCCCTACTAAAAAGATTTTCCCCATCTTTCCTATAGGCCCCCTTTAGGTATTGAAAGGCCATAATCAGGTCTCCCCGCAGCCTTCTTTTCTCCAGTACTATGGTCTGAAGTCCAAACACACATCAGATTCTTAGTAGATACTCTTGAGATGCAAAGGTTTCCTCTTGGTCACCTAATTTATGAATGACATATCTTAAAGAGGCTTGAACAAACATTTGTTTTTCTACACACTCCTCTTTTTTCAATTAGAAAGCAAAAGTCTAGGCTTTGCAAATACTTGCACAGGACCAATCCTCAGGTAGGTCAACCTAAGCACCTATCTGAATGCTCACAGAATTGGGACTTACTTCAGTCTACAAACTGCAAATGGTGCAGAACACATTTTTATTATTTCCTCACATTTCTTAAGCTTTGCCAAGATCAACAGAAACATTTACAGTTAATGAAGCTAGTTTGTCCATGAAAAGTTCATAGAAAACTCATTAAGTTAGAGAAAATTAAACTATGACCTGCGTGTCAAAGAGTCGCCACGGTCCAAATGCTTTGCAACCACTGTGAGCACTTGCATGCAGAGGTAATGCATTTTGATTTGGTAAGAATAGAATCTGGAGAGGAGGGAGAAAAAGGGGAGGCTGTGACACTAAAAAAACCCCTCAATAACCTTCTGAAAGGATTGTCTTTCAGGCTGTTCTTAGATTTTAGCATTATATGGTCTTCTGAACACTACTAAAAAGAAGGAAACGATGCACAGACAATCCTGATTTGAGTCTGTTTCCTAACCCGAAATAGACCTATGGCAGCAGTATTATCTCCTCCCCGGCCCCCCGCCCCCACTGCAAGTAAAATATGAATTAGTTTCCTTTCAAATATAGCTTGAATTTCCCAATTTTCTTTCTGTGCAAAGTTTAAATTTAAGAACATGTAACATGCATGTTACAACATGCAAAACTGTAAACCTAAATCTAAAAAATTATCCATTTGTTATGTCCATTTGCCTTCCCAGCTGAGCTACCAAATGGATCCTCTACTAAATTTGATGTATAGTACTGGGAATTTTCTGATATTTTTTATACCATTTTGCATTTACATTCTCCACTTGTTGTAATTTGTCTGGAGCAAGCATTATGAACAAAATGGATTCATGCCATTTGACTGCCACTTTCCATCACAAGCGCTGTACAGAAGGCACCAATTCAGGTTTACAGGCCAGCCCACAGCAATGGCACTGTGGCTACTTCTGTTTTAAATTCTGTTCTGCGGAACTGTTAAACAAAACCAAATAAAAGCACCCTCGTACTTCCCCACTGCAAACATTATGAATGAAATCATATCAAAAATGAAAAATTGTAGAGTACTTTAACCACATGTGGAATCAACCTCTAACCATAATCTTCCCTTACTCCTCCAGCATGAGAGGAAATTATTTCCTCAAGCATTAAAGCATTAGCGTTAACAAGAGGGATGAACGCATCTTATGAACTCTTTTCACTTTCATTTTTTAACTCACAGAATTTGAGAAAAGCAAAGTTAAAGTAGATTATAAAAATGAAACTAGTTTAATAAGCACGTACATCTTTGTTAAACTAAATAGAAGCATCAGCTAAAAGCAAAACTAAGAAAAAGATGCTGAAAGAGCTGAGCACGTTGCCATATGCACATGGACAGCTCAACAGAATTGATTCTCAAGGCCTTGATCTAATAAAGACCTATGATTACTGGTCTTTTTTCTCTTTTTTTTCAGCCACGTGGACTTTGTTATTGTTGTTTAGCAGGTCAGAAATAACCTCTAAGAAGAAAACAACAAAACACATGCTCCCCTGATGCCCTCAGACCGGTCACTGATGCAGGTAACCGCTTTCTGCAGACGGTGGCCATGAAGCCAGACCCTTCTGAACAGGGAGAAGTCAGTCTATTAATGCTGGCTTTTAGAAGGCGACAATACTTTCAGCCTGATCCTAAAAACCCCCAAGAACCGCGTCAATTACGAGAATCATCCTTCGCACGTGGCTACCCTTAGAGTGGACCAGCTAAGAGAGCTATCTTCTGGAAGGCGTTTGTTCTCACGGCGAAGCAAACCAGGCTGGCGTGCAAGGGCACGGGCCCTGAAACAGGCCCCAGGGGCCCACCCCAGGCCCGCCGAAGCCCAAGCGCCAGA